TAGCGACCAGCTCCATGGACTCCCAGATGCTAGCGACCAGCTCCATGGACTCCCAGATGCTAGCGACTAGCTCTATGGACTCCCAGATGTTAGCGACCAGCACCATGGATTCTCAGATGTTAGCTACTAGTTCTATGGATTCCCAGATGTTAGCAACTGGCACTATGGACTCTCAAATGTTAGCTTCTGGCACCATGGATGCCCAAATGTTAGCATCTGGTACCATGGATGCCCAAATGTTAGCAACTAGTACCCAAGATTCTGCTATGTTGGATTCAAAATCTCCTGATCCCTATAGGTTAGCTCAGGATCCTTATAGATTAGCCCAAGATCCCTACAGGTTAGGTCATGACCCTTACAGGTTAGGTCATGATGCCTACAGATTAGGTCAGGACCCTTATAGATTAGGCCATGATCCCTATAGACTAACTCCAGATCCCTATAGGATGTCACCTAGACCCTATAGGATAGCACCAAGGTCCTATAGAATAGCACCCAGGCCATATAGGTTAGCTCCTAGACCCCTGATGTTAGCATCTAGACGTTCTATGATGATGTCGTATGCTGCAGAACGTTCCATGATGTCATCTTATGAACGCTCTATGATGTCATATGAGCGGTCTATGATGTCCCCTATGGCTGAGCGCTCTATGATGTCAGCTTATGAGCGCTCTATGATGTCAGCCTATGAGCGCTCTATGATGTCCCCTATGGCTGAACGCTCTATGATGTCAGCTTACGAACGCTCTATGATGTCAGCTTATGAACGTTCCATGATGACTGACCGATCTATGATGTCCATGGGTGCTGACCGGTCTATGATGTCTTCATACTCTGCTGCTGACCGGTCCATGATGTCATCATACTCTGCAGCTGACCGGTCTATGATGTCATCTTACACTGCTGATCGTTCAATGATGTCTATGGCAGCTGATTCTTACACTGATTCTTACACTGATACATACACGGAGGCATATATGGTGCCACCTTTGCCTCCTGAAGAGCCCCCTACCATGCCACCATTGCCACCTGAGGAGCCACCATTGACACCACCATTACCTCCTGAGGAACCACCGGAGGGTCCTGCATTACCCACTGAGCAGTCAGCGTTAACAGCTGAAAATACATGGCCTACTGAAGTGCCAACATTGCCTCCTGAGGACTCGGTATCACTGCCTGAACCCCCTGTGAGTCAAAGTGAGATTTCAGAACCTTTGGCAGTTCCTGCTAATTATTCAGTGTCAACAGCGGAGCCCTCAGTGTTAGCAGCAGAGGCTCTTGTGACTGTTCCAGAACCGCCACCAGAGCCAGAGTCATCAGTTACATCAACACCTGTACAGTCTGCTATAGTAGAACATGAAATGATTCTAGAGACACCTGTGACTTGTATGGTGTCCGAAACTCACATAATGTCAGCTGAACCACCTTTGTTAGCATCAGACCCCCCTCCTGTTGTGTCAGAGACGGCAGAAACCTTGGGGTCTATGGGCACTTCAGGACATGCTGTTTCAGAAGTATCTATGCCTGTCTTTGAGCCAGCTGTAACTATTCCAGAGTCAGCCCAGACCACTCCAGAGGTGCCAGCCATGGCTCTCTCAGAGCCGTTGTCTATGGTTGTGTCAGAGCCAGTGGCTGTGGTTCCGGAGTCACCAGCAGTGGCAGTTCCAGAATTGCCAGCCATGGCTGTCACAGAGTCTGTGGCGGTGGCTGTCCCGCAGCCGCTGGCGGTGGCTGTCCCGCAGCCGCTGGCTGTTCCGGAAGTTCTAGTGGTAGCTGTCTCAGAGCCACCGACTATGACTGAGACTGAGCATCTTACTGTTCCTGTGCCAGTGGTTTCTGCCCTGGAACCTACTGTGCCTATGGTGGAACCAGCAGTGTCGGTCCTTCAACCTGCCATGATTGTTTCAGAGCCATCTGTTTCTGTTCAAGAATCTACTCTGGCAGTTTCAGAGCCTGCTGTCACTGTCTCAGAACAGACTCAAGTAATATCAACTAAATTGGTATTGGAGACTACATCAATGATACTGGAGTCTAGTGTTTTGTCCTCAACACATATTATAAAGGGAATGAATTTAATATCTGGTGGTTCTAATCTTGCTCCAGATGTTGGCATGCAGGAGATTACTATGTATTCAGGTGAAGAATCACATGCTGAAGGACACCTTAAGAGTGACTCCTATGGGACTGAACATGGAATGAGTATAGACTTTAACATGAATAATCATTTGATTGCTAAAGAAATGGAACTTAATACAATGTCTGCTGCCAGCACTTACAGTGTTGGTGAAATGGATGAAGAGAAAATTGTACCCATCAATGAAGTTGAACAATGCACAGTATTGGCTACCTGCCCTGGTGTTAGTGAGGCTGCTGTAGGATCTTCTGATCCTCTTGCTCTTGAACCTGATGCAAAAGGAACTACTAAGGGTATTGAATTTGCTACAGCATCTGCTCTAAGTTCAGATAATAAATACGATGTTGAAGTATCTTTATCAACTCAAGATACAGAACATGACATGGTAATTTCCACTAGCCCCAGTGGTGGTAGTGAAGCTGACATAGAGGGACCTTTGCCAGCTAAAGACATTCATCTTGATTTATCATCCAACAACCTTGTTAGTGAGGATGTAGAAGGACCATTGCTTATGAAAGAGAGCGAACAGACAATAGCAGTTGCCCTTAGCGCTAAAGAAAGTAGTGAAGATAAAGAAGTACTGATTCCTAGTAAAGAGATGTTGCCTGGTCTAGGATTTTCTGCCAATATTGAGGATATTAATGAAGCAGATTTAGTGAGACCATTACTTCCTAAGGACATGGAACGTCTTACAAACCTCAGAGCTGGTATTGAAGGACCTTTACTTGCAAGTGAAGTTGAACGTGACAAATCTGCCACAAGTCCAGCTGTAATTGGTATACCAGAAAGAGCTTCAGAGTCGTCATCAGAGGAAAAAGATGATTATGAAATTTTTGTAAAAGTTAAGGACACACATGAAAAAAGCAAGAAAAAGAACCGTGACAAAGGTGAAAAAGAAAAGAAAAGAGATTCTTCATTAAGATCTCGAAGTAAGCGTTCCAAGTCTTCTGAACACAAATCACGCAAGCGTACCAGTGAATCTCGTTCTAGGGCAAGGAAGAGGTCATCTAAGTCTAAGTCGCATCGTTCCCAAACACGTTCTCGGTCACGTTCAAGACGCAGAAGGAGAAGCAGCAGGTCAAGGTCAAAGTCTAGAGGAAGGCGATCTGTATCAAAAGAAAAGCGCAAAAGATCTCCAAAGCACAGATCCAAATCCAGGGAAAGGAAAAGAAAAAGATCCAGTTCTAGGGATAACCGGAAAACAGTTAGAGCTCGAAGTCGCACCCCAAGTCGTCGAAGTCGGAGTCACACTCCGAGCCGCAGGAGACGGTCTAGATCTGTGGGGAGAAGAAGGAGCTTTAGCATTTCTCCAAGCCGGAGGAGCCGTACCCCAAGCCGGAGGAGCCGCACCCCAAGCAGGAGGAGCCGCACCCCAAGCCGGAGGAGCCGCACCCCAAGCCGGAGGAGCCGTACCCCAAGCCGGAGGAGCCGCACCCCAAGCCGGAGGAGCCGTACCCCAAGCCGGCGGAGTCGCACCCCTAACCGACGGAGCCGTACCCCAAACCGGCGGAGTCGCACACCAAGCAGGCGGAGAAGGTCAAGATCTGTGGTAAGAAGACGAAGCTTTAGTATATCACCAGTCAGATTAAGGCGGTCACGAACACCCTTAAGAAGAAGGTTTAGCAGATCTCCCATCCGTCGTAAACGATCCAGGTCTTCTGAAAGAGGCAGATCACCTAAACGTTTGACAGATTTGGGTGAGTCATGAGGGTTAAATGATTTAACCTTACTTTATTATGATCTTTGGGCAACTGTAATATTTGGGATTATTGGCTTAAAATAAAATTTTTTATCTTTAAGTTAAATATTCTGCGTGGAGAAAATGAAGGAATGAATGCCTAAGTTTAGAGATAGATGTAATTAGAATTACAGAGGCCTGCTTTAGATTGGTGTTTCCATACTTAAATATTTTATTAAGTATATTTTACCATAATGAAAAATGGAAAGTAAAATTTAAAAACTAGGCTAGTATATGCTGAGATTGTTACTGTATTTCAACATACATTCTTGCTGATAACCTAAAATTTCATGATTTCCTTCTTAATAAGTTACATGTCTTAATATGGTAATATATAAGACTTTTACATGGTTGTGACGGTGACTGATTGGAAGTAAGTAGAGATGTTTGCATGTGGGGAGTCATTAACTGGGTGGGTAATAAGCAGCAAAATATATGGAATTTATTAGTGAATGATTTTAGTCATCTGTATTATATACTCAGAATAAAAAGCTCTAATTTCCCATGATTTTAAGTAGCATGCAAAGATGCTTAAAACGTGATGGATAGTGCATGAGTACCAGCAATGAGTGTAGACAATTTATTTTTCTAGTAGATAAGGGTAATCTAAAAAGACACTGGGAGAGAGAGAAAAGAGAATCTATTCAATTTAACAAAAGATTGAGTTTAAAGCACTGCAGAGGAAAAGTGTGTGGTTCTCTAAGTGATTACAAGAAACTGCCCAAAAGGAAAGCAGAATGTGAGGATTGCTATCGCATCATAGATGAGGTACTTTAGGAACACAGTAGAGAGATGTTAATTTTTCCTTGATGCCATGTTCGAAGAGCTGGCACTTGAACAGCATTCAAAGAGTGATTCAGATTGTCAGATTAGGAGAGTAATTTCCTGCAGAAAGGATAATAAAGACATAAAGGGTAAGGATATACTATGTTTGGAAAGTAAAGTTGGCTTTGACAGGTCTGTGTCTTAGTGTATGGCAGGGTGAGCAGAGTAGCTATAGTTAACTATTTTGTCTAGTGGTTGAATGGGAGGGAAGCTCAGTATGAACTTAATTGTTTAATAGGGGGTTGTTGTTAAAGTGCCGTTGAGTTGGTTCTGACTCATAGCAACCCTATATGGGGTTCCGAAGGAGTGACTAGTGAGCTTGAACCGCCAACCTTGAATATCAAACCAGTCTAGCAATCCAGCGCATAAACCTATAGTACCACACCAGGACTCCAGAATAGGGGGTAAACACGTAAAAAATTGGAGCCAAAGTGATATGATCACAAGTATAACTTGGCTAGAAATTTGGTATCTTAAGTTGTTAGCATTTAAAACTTGATAATGTAAAATGTAAGTATACAACCTTTTAGGAAAACTGCTTATATTTTTTCTCTTATAGATAAGGCTCAATTACTTGAAATAGCCAAAGCTAATGCAGCTGCCATGTGTGCTAAGGCTGGTGTTCCTTTACCGCCAAACCTAAAGCCTGCACCTCCACCTTCAATAGAAGAGAAAGTTGCTAAAAAGTCAGGAGGAGCTACTATAGAAGAGCTAACAGAGGTAAGCTAGAGAGAATTTGTTTTTGTACTTAAATGGATTATTCCAGTGATGTTGACTCTGGAGCGTGCCAAAACCCGAATTGTGGGCCGAACTGATAATGGCTGGCACCAAGTGGCCAAAACCCGAAATACAGATGTGGCAGCGGCAGAAGCTCTGTTTAGCAGGCCATTATCCGGGATGGCTAAGCTCCGCTAGCTAAAAGTTACTTCCCATTACTTTTGCTTTCCAGTTTTAGAAGCCAAACTGACTGAGGAGTGGGACGGTTCGTTTGAATGGAGGAGGTGTTGAGTGAGCAACACGCAGAAGCTCGCCTACAGTTTCGTTTCCATTCACGACGTGTTCACTGATCGCCACGAGTGTACTGCATATACGCAAAGACACAGACAATCTTCAGAAATGATCTTTTGCCACCGGAGCTTGGAAATTAATGAGAATAGCTGGCCATTACCTGAAAGGAACTTCTTTCGCATCAACATTTCGGGTTTTGGCTGTTTGGTACCAGCCATTGGCGATAATGGCCGGCCATTATCAGTTCTTCTTGCGGTTCGGGTTTTGGCAGTAACATATGTATTTTAAACACAAATTTGTTTTTAAAAATTGGATCTTTTCAATTGAGGCTTTTTGGGGGTTGGGTGGGCTTTGTTGTATTATTGGCTTTTCTTTTTTTTATTTTGGTAGAACGCTGAAATATTGCTGCTAGGATCCAGAAATACCATACTGTTTCATATATTGAAACTTGTTATTGGCTAGCCTTATGCCAGCCTACCACTGTCAATATTTTGTTCCCCTTGGTTATAAGCCTGATATTACTTTGTGTTTTTGGCTAAATGAGCTTTTTATTCTATTGTACTATTTTTCAGTTGATAATGGATGTGACTAATTCTGCTTGTTTAGAGACAGGTCTGCCCAAATTTATTCTGATCTTTTTATAAAGCCAGGTAGTAGAGTCTTTTCCTTCACTTCTCAGGAAGGAATTGACTTTGCTTCATATGTCAGACCTCATCAGTTGGACCCTCTTCATCATACCTTATTTTCCATTCTTGTTTTCTTTCCTTATTCAACTCAATCTACAACAGTTAGGAGGAGACATATCACTATCTAATCGTATCCCAAATGCTTCAGATCTTGTTTACCATATATTTGTGGATCATAAAATCTCTTCCTCACATTTTTCATTTATTACAATTCAAATTACAACTTAAAAGTTAAAGAAACTCTAGTTAAGACCTATCAAATCCAAGCTTCTTATCCAAAGTTTGAAACCCTGTGTGAATACTTTGTGCTCTTCTATTTTACTCCACTATTCAGCCCTCTTATCCTTTTAACAGTTGTTTTCACCTTTTGCCACCACCTAAAATGACTTTTCCTTACCAGTACTTGTTCCTCACTATGAAAATCTGGCTCAGAATTCTTCCAAGGAATTTTTCCTTGATTATCTAGCCTTGCCTGATTCTTTTTTCTCTTAAACCTTTGTTTTTCAGCACTTATGTACTCAGTTTGTATTATATTGGTTTGCACTTGTTGTTCTGTTGCTCTGTAAAAGCGTTCTTCAATTATCTCATGTGTATGTATTCTATCTCTTGAACTAGATTGTAAGCTCCTTGGGAGCAGGGACCATGTCTTCTACTTTTTTTTTTTTTTTTTTTGTATTCCCTGGACAGTGCCCAGTACAGTGCTCTGCACATAGTAGGTGCTCAATAAATGTTGTTGACTGACTGAACAGCCAGAGTGTGTTTAAATGATAGCTAACAAGCTAAGTTATGTGTGTATAACCTATATTATTAATCTTGCTTTAATCTTGAAAGTTGGTTTTACGGAGTTTTGATTTTTAAGAAATTGTAATTCTACATAAATGTGTAAGATTTATCTTTTGTTTGTTTTTGCTTTTTAAGAAATGCAAACAGATCGCACAAAGTAAAGAAGATGATGATGTAATAGTGAATAAACCACATGTTTCGGATGAAGAGGAAGAAGAGCCTCCTTTCTATCATCATCCCTTTAAACTCAGTGAACCCAAACCCATTTTTTTCAATCTGAATGTGAGTATTAGAGTTTATGGATTGATGAAACAGCTCAGTATATGGAACTGTGTAAAAACAAAACAAAACAAAACTAAATTCCTACTTTATATTCTTAATTCTTAAATACTGTGAATCCATTTTGAAACCTCAGATTGTGTTCGGAATCTTCAGAAATCAATGTAATGTAGGTCTTTGTTATGTTGTTATGTGCTGTAGAGAGACTACTGAGTTTTAATTACTCTTTTTTTTCAGATTGCAGCAGCAGCAAAGCCAACTCCACCAAAAAGCCAGGTAACATTAACAAAAGAATTTCCTGTATCATCTGGATCTCAACACCGAAAAAAAGAAGCAGACAGTGTTTATGGAGAGTGGGTTCCCGTAGAGAAAAATGGTGAAGAAAACAAAGATGATGATGATAATGTTTTCAGCAGCACTTTGCCATCTGAGGTAAGTGAAAGGAGTGAAATGTATTGTTTTCTTTTTTTTATACCTGAATCTGCCATTTTATTGTTATTTTATATCTGATTTGGATTCTGTTTCACTCTTCTTAGGGCCGGGTTAAACGGCAGGGCCGGGTTAGACGACAGCTGAAACAACCCGCAGCTTCTCATTTGACAGTAACTCGATGCAATTCACTTTGTGGAACCAAGCCACAAAGTGAAAAGCATCGAATTGCAGAGAACAGTGTTATCACATCCCTACCCAACATTGGGCCCTCCATGCACTTGTGGGAAGGTAGCCCAAGGTACAACTACTTAGCTTCCCGTTTTGCTTCAAGGCTATACAGCTCTAGATTTTGGTGGTAGCAAATTTATTGGGTGGAGGGGTTGAGTGGCTAGAGGCAGATCCTCAGGTTCAACACAAGAACGGGATTGGAAAAGGTCACTGATAACGTGCATCTTGGGTACATAGCCCATTGCCTTTAAATAGTGGTTCCTACTATCTTTCTGGGTTGTTTTTCAGATAGCCTTTAATTATCATCAGTTTTCCTATCTTGTATTACCTTGGTCCTTTTGAATTCTTGTGTTTAACCTAATGCTCAGCCTTGGTACTCCATTCCCTTCGCCTTCCCCTCTTTGCTACTATTAAAAGTTGGAGACGTGGAAGTCACACTTGAAATTTCCATGAGGCTATAGTTGTATCTTGTTAAATTAAGCAGTAATAATGCCAAGTGTCAAAATAACCCCATTAAAATGCCGCCTGATTAAATAATGTGCTGCTAAATATAATGCACATGAAAACAGCAAGACTGTATATATGTAAATATATATATATATATATATCTGTATCTTTGTATGTATCTCTGTATCTGTACCTTTGCTGTATCTTTTAATAAACAGTTTACTTTTATTTAACTTGTTGTGCAAAATCACGCTTGGGGGATCTGGGAGGGTGGAGACTTAATAGGGGGGTGGGAATCTTAAATGATATACCATAGACTAGTTGTCATCACCTTTCTTCTGCTTGCCCTTGGTGTCCAAAGACCAGACATTTGTCCAAGAAATGGACTAGATATCTGATGCCCTTAAAATGTGGGGCTACATCCCCACTTCCTTTTACTGCAGTTCTAGGTCAGAGAGATCTGTACTCTTCACCTTCAGTTCCTTCACTGGCCATATCATTTTTCACTAAACACCTACAATACTACAAATCATGTTTATCAAATCAGAAAGTGAAGAGAACCCAAATCAGAAACTTTGTGATAGCAGTATTTTTTTCCCGAGCTATATAGTCACAGGCGACATTTTCACTGTGTTTTTTTGACCCGCGGCATTTTGAAAGGGAACAAGTCCTATATGATGAAGTGAGGCATGGTAACTAAATACAACTTACATTCACCAGTGGTCTGTGTTCGCATGGAGTACAACAATTAAAGTTATACCATCACCATTAAGGGGGAGCTAGAGCTGCTTTGAACAATATTTTAAGAAACCAATTGAGTAGCTTTGTTGCTATTCTTGGGGAGGTTAAGCTGCACATCTCTGGAGGGAACGTAATTGACACTTGTAACTGACTGAATCTTGTATTAACTGAGTATCAGCCATCATAAAAAGGGCTAAATAGATTTACTTAGAAATCCTGATACCAATCCTTTCAGTCAATTTCTTGCATATTAAGCATTTAACAAAGAATTAAAAAAAAGATAGCTATAGAGATGATATGTGAATAATTTTGCAATGGAGTGAAGACCTAATGAATAGTATAGCAAATTTCCAAGGCATTTTCCTCAGAAGATAAGTGACCCTAATGGTTTTAACTTTCTTCAGTTGAACATGGGGCAAGTGGATTTTCATAATTAGATGATTTTTTGATTGAGACATGTGAGTGTGTGTATATTTATATTTTAATACACAGCCATTCTCCATCTTAACACTGTTGGTGTGATAGCCTTAGCTTTATCTTTCCTCAAACGTGAATGTTAGATTTTAACTAAAAGATTTAAATAACTAGTTCTAAATAAAAGAATTCCAAAGTTTCAACAGGAAATGGAGACAGGATTCTATTTTGCTTTCAGGTTCCTACTTTTATGTAGCCACACCTAGAGGAAATGTTCACAACATAAAATGTTGAATTCTGTTTTTCATAGACCAGTGTTGGTGGAAAACTATTGGTGACATTTAAGATAGCATGACCCTTTGATAGGGCTTTCTAGAGCTAAAAAAAGTTCTTTTAGATGGTCAGTTTTTTTTTTTTAACTGGGTAGCCTTTATTTCTCCCCCCTATTAATCCCTTTCATCTTAATAAATATAAATGGAGTTTGTGGTTCTTTAGTCTTGAGTATAAAAAACATTTAGGCAAAGATCACGGATTTGGTCTTCATAAGGACCAAATTAGCTTTGTTAAATAATGGACTACATCCTAAACCCCACCAAATGTCTTGCACATGAGTGCTTTTTGACTTAAGTATAAGTGGACAGAAGTTGTGGATGGATCAGCATAAATCCATATCTTATGGGAAAACAACTCATCAGACTGTGTGCTGTCTACTGTGACCATAGCATCGTCTTTCTACTCAGAAACCAGCGGCATCCTCAGTAAGGAGTGACTACAGAACTTTGACCATATTTGTGTGAATATGCTTTATAAATAACGAAATCATAAATATTGGAAACTAGTATCTTAAAACAATTGTCCCTGGGGGTTTTAATTATTGGTAAAAAAGTTAGTAAAAGTTTACATGTTACAAGATTTAGCATGGAGTTTTCAGTCATAAATGTTTTAGAGATCCAGAACTAACTCAGTGATTGCTTACATATTAAGTTCATCTTTATCACAAGCAATGAACTTGGTTTGTATTTCTCAAGTTTATGTCCACATCTCAGTGGGGTTAAAATTATCTTGAATTTGGAAGCTTTGTGTTTACAAAGTTTAGGAAAGTGAAAAATTTTTGCATACGATGAAAAGTTTAATTAGAAATGAAGCACACAGTTCTTGGTTAGTGCTAGAATGTAAAATGTACAGCTCTGGTATTCATTCTGTAGATTCTTTTAGGTGGTTACCAATTTATTTGAGCTATTTAATAGGTTGAATTCCAATTACTATTCATTAAGTTTAAACTTATTTTTAAGTTAACAGTTAGTTGCACTAGAGAGTTTTATAAAACTGATTCTTAATTCACTTTTAAGCCCAATCTATATAACTGGGACATTTTGTGTTTAATAATGGCTTTTGTTTTTATGGCTGTTCTGTGAACCTCTTAATATTTTTATTACATTTTGCTAAATATTTTAAGATCATGTGTCATACTCAGGTTAGATGCTTTTCTTTAGTTACGATTTCTTAAAAATTTCCCTTTTTTAATTGGAGATACCTGCAATAGCAGTATTGAAAATAACTTTGTTTCAGAGGTTATTTTTAATCTCATTGACACTATCTGAACAGTTCTTTATTTCTTTAATACCCTTTCATTGACCTCCTAAGAAATACTAATTCAAATAATTTGTTTCTACTTTGGTAAACAGTTGGATTAACAAAAGTTGGGGGAAGTAAACTGACAGAAGAAATTTTTAATGAAAATTAAACATATAAAAGGTACACTTGTATAATATAGGTCATGAATTAAACATTACATGATGCTAGATGCATTGTATTTAATTACTCAAATCACTACTGTAGGTTATATATGAAGTTTTTGTTGCTAAGATAAAGAGATTCAGTAACTTGGACAGGTTTTTATTAATGTTATACTTACACATATTCCATATATTCTTTTATGTAAATTTCACTATTTTGAGAAAGTCTTAGGAGGAGGATTTAAAAAATGGTTTTGAATCTCCATAGCCACATTTTAAGTGTCCAGTGGCAATTACTGCAGAATGTTTTACTAGCACTGCTTTTAAAGGGTGGTGGTGGTAATTTATAAATGAATTAATATGAATAAATAATCTAAATAGGAAAAACAACATTTAGTTTAGCCAGGGAACATTTAAACTTTGATTATGCTAGTTGGGTTTTTATGTCTTATTGTATAGCCCACATTATCTTGAAAAGTTGGAAATGGACTTTTTGCTGCAAACACTTGAGCATTCATCAGAAATAATTTTGCTTATTCTATTTTGAATATATTTTCTCATCCTTAAAAATGTGAATATGAAATTAGTAGTTAAGTTACTATTTGGTAATAAAATTTTGATATGAATTTGGAACTCACTTCATTAGCCTCTTGAATTAATAAAGTTTGACTATGTTGCGATAAAAATGAGTTGTAATTTTATCTAAAATAAAATCATAGTGAATGTTTAAGATTGATATATAAAAATATCTTTACAGAGTGAAATGTGATTTTAATATGGAATATTACTGAGCTCTTAAGGAAATTTCCTGGAAATAAATGAGGGAAGTATTTTTAGGTTACTGGCTTATTCCAAGTAAATGTTAAAAGCATGAACAGGTTTTAAAAGGTGTATTAACTACTTTCAAATAAAAAATTAATTTTGTAGAAAAGTGGGAGTTTTGAGAGCGAGCTAAAATACTTTCTTATGGCAGCTTTATAGTGTAAGATTAAGGATCAAAGACCCTAGTAGGTGGACACTTCCCCCCACCCCACCCCCAGCATTTCCTCAGGTTTTATCTTTTCTATAATAAAATCTATTATTCACACTTGAATTTTCAGACTGCTATAGGACCACAAATAATTGTAGCCAGATTAATGAAAAACTACTTGAAATATATTTAATGAGTCTTTTGAAATTACATTGATAATCCTCCCAGGCAATTTTAGGTAACATCTAAGATAGAGCAACCAAGCAAACAGAACATTTCACTCTGAAGTGGCTGGGTTCCTATTTAAAGTTCCAGAAACTGAACACACTAAATTCTTATCAGGCCAACGTTATGTAGATAAGCTGTTAAAGGCCCAGGTAATAATTTGTGTGGATAGCATCAGGTTGACCAGCAAATTAAGGACATTCATTTAAGAAGTCTATAAACAGTCTTATCAGCAATTACAGAATTAGTTTAACTTTTGCCTTTGTTTTACATGGCAACAGAAATTACACTTTTTGTGGAAGAGAAAAACTTGATTCATTAGCTAACAGTGAGTCAATAAGGTAACATGACCAACTCTGACTCTAAGGGGCTCTGAATGGAGAGAAGGGAACACTAGTGAATCATTTTTTCATTGTAATCATTCATAGATTATAGGTCTTTGAAAAGTATTTCATCCAGAATGCATAGTCTAATACAGTTAACTTCTACTTCCATTTTTAAAAAAGGAAATCTATAACTTTTAACTAATTTACTGACTTCCTTGTGTTTATCGTATCTATGCTTAATTCTTTATATATGAAACAACCTCATGCCAGATAAGAATTTCCCGACACAATTTTCAGGGGATATAACTAGGAAAACATTAGTGGGTTAAGTGGTGTCGGAAGAAAAACAAAGATCAAGAATAGGTGAAGTTGCGCTCTCAATTTTAGAACAAAATGTATTGAATTCTTAATGAGTTATTTCTATATGGCTGAAAATAAAGACCCAAGGCTTTTAAACACCTGTAATTTTAAGCATTTTAATTATATTATGTACTTAAAAGTATTTTAAGTCTGATCATAGATTTGTGCAAACTGAAAGCAAAAGATTCATTAATTTTTTAATGTAATGTATTAGAAAAAAATTGGGTTCTTAAGACCTAACTAGAATCCTGGTGTAGTGCTGTAGCGTCAGCACTGGACTGCTAACCACGAGGTCAGTGGTTCAAATCCACCAGCTGCTCCTCAGAAATGCTAATTGGGGTCAGTATATATTTTATACCAACTTGATGGCACTTAGATACCTAACTACTTCTATTCACAAAGGCAAGGTGTAAAGGAGTAATAATTTTTATGGTAATGGTTTTTCGACTATTAAGAATTTTTACTGCTTCTGAAGGTATAGCAATAAGAACATTCCTAATAGGACTCTATATATAATTTCAGTTTGATATAGTAGAAAATAAGCTGAAATCTGTTACAGGCTTTGAATTGGGTTCTGTGGTTGCCTTTGATAGTAACTAAAGCTTAAATAATTTTCTGTTTTCTGTATCTTTTGCCTACTTTCAGTATATTAATATGTAAGACTTGTAAGATACTATGAGCACTATTCAGAATTTGGGGGGCCTGTGGTAATTTAAGATAATTATCTATGTTTTTTTTCTTAGCCTGTGGACATCTCTACAGCAATGACTGAGCGAGCACTTGCTCAGAAAAGACTCAGTGAGAATGCATTTGATCTTGAAGCTATGAGCATGTTAAATCGAGCTCAGGAACGGGTATGTAGCAGTTTTTAATGTCTAAATGAGAATTTGACTAACCAGAGTTGAGTTGTAACAAAATCTGTGACATGATATTGAAATAAAGTTTTTTAAACTAAAAAAATCCAAGAAAGTAAATAATTTATCTTAATTAGGATCTCTGTGAGTCGGAACAAACTCTGGCACGTAATAAAAAAAAACAAGGTCACACAACTAATATATAATAAGTGGGGAAACTGGAATTCAAGCCCAGGCAATTAAAATCTAGAGTGTGTACTTTTTAACAGTCTAATAGCTTTTGACTTAGATCAAGTACTTTTTTATTGTAGGTATATATAGAAACAGTAAGTACAGGTTCAGACCAATAATGAAAGCAATGCCTGATATACCACCAGATGCTTAGTAAATAAGATTTGAACTGATTTGAATAACAAGCATATACCGTGAATTTAACTAAATTAGTTATTAATAATTTAAAACCTAGGTTGATATTTGTTGGAGTGTAGTGTGAGATGGAAGAATGGGATTAGAATGGATTCTTTGGTATATTAGCTTGCTTTCATTTTTATGTTTCAATTATTTCTATTGTTTACATTTTTTGAAGAATGAATATTACAACTTTTTTTAGTTGTTAAACATCTCAGATATTGTTCTTATGGATTTACTGATGGAATGGGTTAATAGAGTCTGTCAAACTTTGCAAGATTTAGAGGAAATAATTTGTATTATGTGTAAATGCAATATATTGCTATAAAATAGGTTGACTAATATTATGCAGCTGTTTTAGGAACTAACATTTTTGCTTAATTACTTGTTCTTAGCAGTGGCATTTTAACCAGATGAGTGATTTTATTTAATCTAAGCTTCCTGTTTTGATTTTTGTGTGTTTTTTTTTTTTTTCCAGATTGATGCTTGGGCTCAGTTAAACTCTATTCCTGGCCAATTCACAGGAAGTACAGGAGTACAGGTTCTGACACAAGAACAGTTGGCCAATACTGGTGCCCAAGCTTGGATTAAAAAGGTATACAATATATATACACATACATAAGTGTTGAAGTACAAAGATTTTTTTTTTTTTAAAGTATTATTAAAAATGCATGAAGGGCCCAATAACTAACCAATGTTCATTAGTAAATTTGCTATGTATGTACGTTCCAGGATGGACACTGAAGATGGACCTGATTCATAAGACAATGGCAAATGTATAAATAGGGCTCAAGAGCCAATCAGTTTATATCCCTAGGCTATTTTTATTTTTTCCTTTTTTAACTGTATGTTTAATGCCAACAGTGTATTATCAGGTGCTGTTCAGAATATTCCAGTTCCTGTTGGGCTACTAATCTAATAATTTCAAAGCAGTGGTTCTCAAATGTTTCCTCATCATGGGATACTTTATTACAGGTTTATTTTTGGTGGATCACTGTCCCCAAGAGCCTTCTACCACACCCTAATTTCCCATACCTCTATTCCATTGTCCTTAACCCTCTTACCACCTTTCCTTAGTGCCTGTGCCCTCCTTAAAAATCCCTGTTCCTTACCCCTCTTGTGACTTCCATCCCCAGATCCCTATGGTTGTCAGCCATTGATTACAGCAAGTGGTTGGGAGGCCCTATTTATTAGCACTGCATGTGGCTATCGTGCCATGGGACTGTGGAAGGCTGAGGGAGGATGGCTGGAGTGTGGGGTGGGCAGTGTTAAAGGGTGGTGAAGGAGGTGGGGTGGGGATGGAGAATACCATCTGTGGACCACCATTCAGGCCCTGGTGGCCTCTGGTGATCCACAGGCTCAATTTGAGAACCACTGATCTCATGGAAAACAGGACATATAAGACCTAAAATCAATGGAGAGGATGGACACCTCGTGCTGCGAAGATGTAGGTGCATCTGGTTTCAGATTCCTGCAATAAGACCTGAGAAATCCACCTACGGCTGCCTCATTATCGGGGGAGTCTTAGGTGGTTAAGGAGGGCTTTGTGAAGAAGTACATTCTGGTGAAGGGATGTGGCTTGGTTGGATGGGTGATGGGAAATTTGTTTCAGGAGTACTGGCAGCATAGCAGTGCTGAAACTGGGAGGCTGCATGGTCTATCCCGCTGTATTCCTGACTCCTTGTGTGAACTTAGGCAAGTAATTCTTTGGAGTTTTAGAGTCTCCAAGCTTCAAGTGGAGACAGTCTTTATTACTGCCTCACAGTGTAGTAATCAGTAGTGTGAAGGGTCTCTACAAAGAAATGTCTTAAGTGCCAGCGAATGAACTCTTATTTCTGAAAAATGAGACATCACTTGCTTTGATGTTTCAATCTCATAAGTTACTTCAATTTTGATGGTTTTATCTCTGACTCTTAGTAACAAAATTAATATAAAACATCAAATATTGTCAGTTTGCCTGCTGATATTTTTTTGGAAATACTTACACTAATATGTGCATAGTACATGGTCAGATTCATGAAAGAGCTTTACTTTTATGTAGTTTACTGTGGGTTGGTGTTGGGTAAAAGAGGATGAAGATCTAACAAATTTTTAAGTTTGGATTTATTTTTTATTTATTTTGAATGTATTTGAGAAATGGTTTTCATATTAATGGGAAGAATTATACTTTTACATCTTTTTCTTTAATATTTTAAATTCTTAATACTACTTAATCTTAAAATTGAACTCAGTATTTATGAAGTCTTAGAGATGATAGTATCAATGTGTCTTTTAGACACATGATTATACATCTCTGTGATTACTTGTAGAAACTTATGAATGGGTTTGCATTGTAAATTTTTAGTCTTCATCTATATAATGAAGTCTTGATCTATAATGCTTGGATACTTCTAAGTAGCATTATGCTTTTAACATAAATAACTTTTTAAAAAGTGAATCTCACGGTGATTCAATTGGCTGGCTACCAACTTTTTCCTTAAAAACTTCTTTTTTGTAGTTGTATTTTCAGTATTGTAGGCAGTTCATTGATATTAAATAAGCTTTTATATGCTTAGTCATATATAGAGTCCAAAGGTTTGTCCTTATAGTGTACATAACTATATCCCAGGAATGAAATTATTTTCACAAATTACCACAAGGTAAAATATGTGTTCATCAGACCGAATTTTGAATTATTAGAGAAGCAATGCTTCTAATAAAATAATCTTTGGTATAAAATTACTAAAGAAATGTAACTAATATTCTAAGGAAGAAACATTTCATCTAGAAAAACTGGCAGAACATTCAACAAAGTCATTAGGCAACTGGAAATCTAAAATGTTTCTTTACTGTGAATATCACAAATACTATCTGCTCATTAAACACTGAGTTGTGTTTTAAAAGCTTTTTCAATTATCTTTGGGCTTTTCTGGCCTAAGTATAGTCTTAACACCCTCTTTATAAAGCCATACAGAGTATCAACATTTTTAAAAATTCATTGCAGTGTATTTTTAGATGGAAAAGAGTGACAGTTATGAAAGTTTTATAAATATTCTCATTCATCAGTAAAAAAAAATTTTTTAATGGTTATTGATTTACAAGAACCTTTATTTTCTGGAATGAAATGATTTGGACAAAACCTGATTTGTTGTTTACTGGGTAGACTCATTGGAATAATCAGCTTTTGAGGGGGATAACTGCATACATATTGGGGTAAAGAAACAAGCAACTATTAAAGAATACAAGACAAAATTGGAAACCTGGATTATTTGTGGGTTTGTATTGTATTTTGCACAGTTGCCCTTTTTTTTAGGAGTGTTTCCTGGAAAAGATGGGCGGATGAACCTGGAAGTAAGTAAAAATCATTCTAGGTGTGTAGCATCAAGGCAGTTGATATCCAAGCATCAGCTAACTTTTTCTCTTTATACATCTACACTGCATGGCCTGCACCAAATAAAGGAACTGAACCAGGGTTATGTTTTTACCTCCACAGCTGCCTCCTTCCATCAGAGCACCTTGTTGAACTTAATGTCTAGTCTTACATACATCATTGGCATGTTACATACCCCAGCATGTAATTAAAAAGCTGGGGAACAAGTACGATTATACAGTTTTACTACTGTGTAAAATAAAAATTTCAGATTTAGCATTAACTTATCAATGCAGAAATGATGATACATACGGTTTCCAAAGCTACCAAATGTTTTGGCTCCCTCTGTTGATAACTTAATGCTAGAGAATAAACCTAATATTAAAACACAAGGGAAATAAAGCATGACTTGATGAATGCTATTTTTTTTTAAATGACCATGAAGATTAACAGAATTTAATACTGTTTATGTAGATGAATGCCCTTTAAAACAAGGCATCATATATGTAACCTGTGAGAATAACTGATCATGCTAATGTATACAGTTGTGCATCTTTAAGACATTAAGCGGTTTGCTGCTTTGATGGAAATTATGGTTCAGTGGGTTGGATACAAGAGAGATGACTGTTCACAGAATAACCTGTGAACTTTCACCCCTCTATATGGAAACTTGTTTCAGGGCCAAATCCTTGTAGCTGTCTTCTTGCCCCGGTCAGTGCCAGCCCTACTATTCACAACACTGCTGCTACCGAGGCCTAGGTATGTAAACATTTAAGGAGTTTTTAAAAGTCTTTTTAACTTCAAGCTAGGTTTTAAAAAAATTCAAATTCAGGTTATCTTCTGGGATTGTATATTTATTGAATAGATATTTTTGTACCATATAGATTTAATTTTAAGTCATCTTTTTGCTTCATAGGAACGTTCTATGTAAAACTATACTTGTTTTATATTATAGAATGGGGACTGAAACTTTGTATAATAACAGTATGCATTTCTGAGTAATATCTGGGCTTTATTCATTAACTAGGTACACCTGGGACAATTAATATTATTGAATGCTTTAACATTGCCTTCTTTTTATTTTGCAAGCTAAGAAGAGATACCAGTGAACCTAAATAGTGGACGAAACAGGAGTGTTCTAATTTTTTTTTGGAGGGGGGCATAAAGGCCACTGTTTTTAAACTGCCATTTACTTGCTTTAATTGACTTTGAAATAAAATACATTATAATGTATAAGTAAAATATGCAAACTAAACTGTGTGAGTATAGAAGCATTTAAATTTAATTCTATAATAACTGTAACAGGTTTTAGCAGTAAAATGAGATTTTAATTATTTTTTTATAGAGAGCTACCACTGCATTTGTAATCAGATCCTAACTGTAAAATGGGGACATTTTACCTTTCTTTCTCTGGATAGGATCAGTTCTTAAGAGCAGCCCCAGTAACTGGAGGAATGGGAGCCGTTTTGATGAGAAAAATGGGCTGGAGAGAAGGAGAAGGATTAGGAAAAAACAAAGAAGGAAATAAGGAACCTATTCTAGTTGATTTTAAGACAGATCGAAAAGGTAAATTGTTTTTGTAATGTTCATTATTATATGTCCTTTAACTAGGGTTTCATTATCTTTACATATTGCTTTGATACTATACTAAATGTAATTCTGGTACCTGTGCATGTCTTTGTCAGAGAAAAAGTTTAACCCGTTTTCAATAAAAATACAGTTGGGAGACCTTAATTTGAACTTTTAAAAGGAAACTTTAGTCAGTACGGTTTGCAAACTATTATAAAAATAGCCATATATGCGTGATTAATTTTAACTAGGTTTTATGTCTAGAAAAATAGAATTTCCATTTTGTTTTCTCTTGGCAAAAGCCATATTCTTAATTTTTTATATCTAGAATTGGATTTCCCTTGTTTATCCTTCTATTTTCATTCCATAACTCTGTTTACTTTTCTCTCATTTCAGACTCAGTAGTTGAGTCCTGTTGGGTTGGGGCTGCAGAGTAGTAGACCAGCCAGGGACAAAACAGTATTACCTCTTATTAAAATCTAAACTTGTTTTAAGGTACTTTGGAACTTCTACCACTGCATGGATTTTGCTACTGTCTTCAGAAGCTCTAGTGGCTCATTGGGTTAAACACTGGGATGCTAACCAAAGATCAGTGCTTCAAACCCACCAACTGATCCACAGTAGAAAGATGAGGGAGTCTACATCTGTAAAAGGCAATTGGGTCTGCTTTGACCTGTACAGTCCCTGAATTGACTCCACAACAGTGGGTTAGTCAGAAGTCTTGTGGGTGAAGTCTGATAGAGTTAAATTCTTAATGAGTTTAGAAGTGTTCTGACTATGAAACATTATTTTAGCACATCTTATATTATAATTACAACACTGTCATGTTAAGTTCACATGAGAGGGAATTTATCAAATTTGTATGTATTCATATACATATAAAATGATAAACAGGATGCAAAAAATGTAATTATTCTATTAACATCATTAAGAATGGGCCATTTTCTTAAATTAGAAAGGGTCCTTATTTGTATTAATTGTGCCACATTAGAACAATGTCGTTTCTAAAACTTGATTCTGAAAAATGGATAGGTTTCTGTGAGGGGGTGCAAATGGCTCTGTATGAGCCCTTCATTTAGATTTACAGCCTTTGAAACCTTGTTACAGGGTCAGTGTGAATTGGAAGAAGCATGGGTGTCTTTCATCTGTCTCTGTGGGGCTGTACAGCATGGCCTTTTTGAAAGTTCTCAGAGACATATCCCAGAACAGGTTTGGGAAAATATACCAGTATGTATTGGTGTGGTACTGTGGGTTAATGCACTGGACTGCAGTCAGTTTGAACATCCAGGTCAGTTTGAACAGACTTTGATGGCACTTAACGTTCTTAGCAAAGGAGTGGTAGAAGTTTCTCCTTAGTACATGGAAGCTGGGAAAAGCAGTTTTAAACAGAACTACTGGAAGGAGCTCTGGTAGCGTAGTGATTGAGTCAGGCTGCTAACCTTAAGATCAGCAGTTCCCAGCTACAAGCCGTTCTGCAGGAGAAAGATGTGGCTTTCTTGCTGCATCTGTAAAGTTTTATAGCCTCAGAAACCTTATGCAGGGTGACCGAGAGTCAGAATTGACTCTAAGGCACATCACCACTGCAAGGAACCTGATGTCCTGGTGTGGAGTCGTAGGATAAAGTGTGGGACCACAGGTCAGTTTGAAATGCAAGGTCAGTGGTTCAGATTCACCAGCCACTCCTTGGAAACTATGCAGGGTCGCTAGGAGTCGAACTCCACTTGATGGCACTTATAACAGAAAAAAACACAAGGAACCAGTTCTAGTCGATTTTGCAATAAGCTTATGCAAACAAGTTATGTTTGTCTTTTGAGACCATCTCATACTTGTTAAGTCAAAGTTATTTTATGGAGAAAAGTAATGACTAATTTATGCTTTCTCACTTTTGCTTTTTTTTTTTTTAACTTAACAATACTTACCTTTATTGGTGTATTATAACTGAGGGCTACTTTTTGATGGGTAAGGTATCCTTAATTTATATTTTAAATTTGTGTGTTGGCTAAACATTTGGTTTTATACTATTTCCAATACCAACAGTGTATAGGATTGAAAGTCTGTACATACAAGGCTTCCAAAAGTTGATGGAAAAATTCCATTAACTTTTCCATTCTCTTCTTGAAGCCCCTTTGTATATTATCATATGTATTAATACCTAGCAAAGTACAACTGAAGGTATGGATTGATGTCCAGAGTCTCATTTTACTATAATAACTTTTAAGTGCCACCCTGACTTTTCCTTAGTGAACACTGGCTTTCCTTTTTTCTAAAGGTCTTGTTGCAGTGGGAGAAAGAGCACAAAAGAGATCTGGGAACTTCTCTGCTGCAATGAAGGATCTGTCAGGTTAGAATACACTGTGGAATTTCCTCTTGTATTCATAATTTCTTTTAATAAAAGATGTTGGAAATATTTTGCAGCTGATTACTTTTTTTCTTTCTCTGCAGGCAAACATCCTGTGTCTGCCTTGATGGAAATCTGTAATAAGAGAAGGTGGCAACCACCTGAATTTCTCTTGGTCCATGATAGTGGCCCTGATCATCGCAAACATTTTCTATTTAGGGTAAATATAAATTTTTGCATTACTCAACTTGTCTTAATGATAAAGGGTGAGGGGGGCAATAAGCATTATATGGTCATAAGAATCTTATTGTGGGTTGTGCATATATGCGGGGGCTTCAAAAAAGTTCATGGAAATTTAAAATTATCCTTTAATTTCATTTTTCAATGAACTTGTATGGGTGGAATTTAAATTAACATTAGAAGTACATTAACATGAATTGTAGCTATTTTGGGAAAAATATGGGTAAAATCTGATGAGTAATTTTACTGTTGATATTAATGAAACATGGGAAATGGATTTAATATTTTTATCAGAATTTTTTTTTTTATTTGGAGACATGCTCTTAATTTGCAATCCCTTTCTCCATGTGATTTGCCTCTTCTGGGTTGAGATTAATTTGATTTACATAGCATGGGTTTTAGAGTTGTTAATTTTTCTAGCATTTAGTGAAAAAATACAAAGCTAATAGATATTAAAGTTTGATGCTGTTCTTATTGTATGTTTTTCTTGAATAGGTATTGAGAAATGGAAGCCCTTACCAGCCCAATTGTATGTTTTTCTTGAATAGGTATTGATAAATGGAAGCGCTTACCAGCCCAGCTTTGCCAGCCCTAATAAGAAGCATGCTAAAGCCACAGCAGCTACTGTGGTTCTTCAAGCAATGGGCCTTGTACCAAAGGACCTCATGGCTAATGCCACTTGCTTCAGGAGTGCCTCACGTAGATAGATTGAGGTTTTATATTAATCATTTCAGATTTTACTCTGCATCAAAATGTATTTCCTCCTTAATGTTGTAAATATTTGGCAATTGAAGAAGACATTGTGTAAAAAGCAATCTGTACAAACATCTCCAGGCTTTGATTTTTGTACCATGGAAATTGTATTTAACCATACAGGGTTTTGGTATGTTTATATTGTTTACCTTAGTGATGTATTTGTTTAAGTGGCTAACATCCAAACGATTGTTTGAAGGCATCAGTAATCTTCAGTGTGGAATGTTAAATAACGCTTTTATACTGTATTTTGTACTACGCTGTAACTCCCCTTCCTTATGGCTAGGCTGCTGTAACACTTGCCTGTAATCAGTGAAGGGCTGTGCACCTTGTACTATTTCACAATGGGTTCTGCTGGACAGATACTGGGCCAGTGTTATTGAGGTAATCAAGCAAGATCTGTTCCACAGGGCTAATGCCACCACCTCCCCTTAAAGTTTTGTAGAGGTTATAAAGCAAAGTGGTATGTTGTGTGATGATAAGCACTATGTCCTGCGTTCCTGTAAAGCCACTTGGGCCATGAGGGAGTAAAAATGAAGTCTGACTAGAATTCTGCAGAAGCCAAGTAAATTTAGTATGGCATTGAGTTGTGATAATAGTTTTACTTTGATGTGCATTTTGAATTTCAGCTACACCTAGGTAGATTTAAAATGATAATTAAAATGCTGTAACCAACTTATCTAATAAAATCGGCACCCAGCCACTATTTTGTTGACCATGAGAAAGTTCATGTTAATTTTTAGGGTCTGATAGACTATTTCATGTGTATTACCGTGGTATTCATATGCTATGTCTCTAAACTTTATTTTCAAAAGCTTAAGGCCCAAATACAAACTTCTCTGGAATAAATGTGGTGTTTTATTTTCTGGACTCTAAAATGAATACATACTTCTTCAAATACTGTATCTTTTCCCAATGCCTTTGATTTCTAAGCAGTTTTATTTAAGAAATTTTGAATTACACAAATAAGTCTATACAAGCACATGAAGTACTACTTTACCAACTGTCAAGCTGAGCCAACTTTACAACTATTAATTTCTCTAGTGGAATATAAAACCTCTGGATTAACAAGCACTGAAAAAAAATAATAAATATATTAGAAAAAAAATGTTTTAAATCAGGGAGGAAGCTAAAGTAGAAGCTCAATAACCAGCCTAATAGATGTTTTTTTATCTTATAAAATATAAAATAGTCTATAAAATAGTCTTCAGTAATGTATTTTTGCCTAGATGCCATTGGTCATAATACCATGAGATAATTGCTCAACCACCATAATTCATCATTTATAAGAAAACACGATTCAGTTTTTTACTTTGTTTATAACTAGAGTTTAAGGATCTAGAATTTTCATATTAGAGGTAGTTTATTAAATTTTTGAGTCATATTTAAATAGCTGATCTGAAAATAGTAAATGTCTTCAGAACAGTTCTGCTCAGTGCATGCATTAAAAATTAATATAAAAGTCTGTTTACAAACATTTGAATATTCTGCTATATATATATATTCCTTTCTTTGAAATTTAAAGCCATTCTTTAAAAAAATCTTGAATTTCCTTGTTAGGTTTTTTTCTCTCAATTTCCATTTAGGCTTACTTTGGTGTTCATGATTTCCAATTATAAATGTAGTCATTCATTTCCATATGTCGTATGGATGACTTTCCCAGTAATGGTATTTGAATAAGTTGGTCCACAGTTTTAGGATGCAACCCACAGTTGGCAAGCTCCTTATGAATAGTTTCCTGTGGAGACGAGACATCCAAGGCAGTATTATAAAGTACTTGGTAATTACTTGGAGGACATTTTGGATTCATGATTACAAACATGGGCAATTTGGGAATCCTGGTGTGGTGGTGTAGGATAAGCACTGGAATGCTAACAACTAAGTCGGCAGTTCAAGCCCACCAGCAGCTGCTCAGAAAACCACCCTATACAAGGTCACTAAGAGTTGTAACAGACTTGATGGCACTTAATAAGGGCAATTCAAAGGAACCTGAATTGCACACTGAGTGTTCAGCTTCTAACCAAAAGGTTGGCTTGAAGCTACCTGTGGCTCAATGAGTAGAGACCTTAGTGGATCTGCTCCCATAAAGATGACAGCCTGGTGAATGGTTGGTAAGTAGAAATACCCTGGATGGCATGTAAGGGCAACTCATCATAGCAGAGGTTGATACCAAGAATTATTAGTGGCAGAATCCTAAAATACTTGCCTATTTTTACAAATCTGGCAAGCTGATGATAAGTATGAAGCAACTTATAAGGTCTTAATTCTTTATTGTTGTGCCATTAAGTTGGTGCTGACCCACAGCGACCCTGTATAGGGTTTCTGAGGAGCAGCTGGTGAGCTCGAACTGCTGATCTTGCGATTCAAACTGACTTTGTAGCCCAGTGCATTAACCCACAGCACCACACCAGATAAAATTAAAGGCAAATATGGCTAAGTAAATAATCCATATCAAAGTGTTTCTGACTTAAATGACTTTAATTCCCCATAAACTTTACCAGCCCTCAAAGCAAGCCTGTACAAGATTTCCAAGGAAGGGTTGATGGGTATAAACTGTCGATCTTGTAGTTAACAGTTCAGGGCTTATCCTATTAAAACTAACTTCTCTACTTTGATAACTTGAAACAAGGCTGGTTCCCTCATTAATTTTAAGCTCTATTTTTCCCCAGCCTGTTTTCAGTAAACTCGATTATAACTGTTTAAATAAATCCTCTAATTGTTTAAAGTTATGTACTTACTTTATCTAGTACTTTATCCACTGATGGGCAGATATTAAATACAGCAGTTGGCTCGTGTGTATACAGTCCTGCTGAAAAAGACCCATCCTGTGAAGACTGGAGTAGCATGATCATACAATGTAGAGAATGAGGCATGACAGGACCTGAAATCTCCAAACTAAATTGATCTCTGTATCCAGAAAGAGTTTGCGTCTTCACGTTTACACTTCGTGCCTTCGTAACATTTTTAAAGAAAGAAAATGATCACCATCTCTCAAGATAACAGTGCTTTTGTGCCCTAAGTAAAATCGTTTACAATAAATTTTCATTTGAAACTCCTCTTTGATATACAGGGACAAACGCAGCTCCTAACATAACAAAACAGTCTGCTATATAAACAAGTTCTCAAAACCTCCAATATCCTCTAAAACATCTGTTTAAAGAATATAATTTTTTTTTTCCATATAGTACTGATTTAGTAATGTACTTTCACAGTGCAGAATATTGGCCGAATGAGTAAATAATTCTATTACTATTTAGAACACATGGTATATGGTACTTAGTACTACATGCATACTTTTTCAAATGTACTCAATTCTTTTGACCTATCCATAATCCAGTTTTAAGATCTATGTACCATTCTTAAGCTTTTATTGGTATACTTAAAATGACACAAAATAAGATTAAGCTGTTTCATTAAAAGGTAAAATGAAAATACCAATTATGTTGCCAATTACATTTACTTGATAAAACTTATTTTCATGTGAACCCTGATAAGTCTATTTACATCAAGGAAATTTTGAAGAGTACAAAATAAACATGCATCAAAATGCTAAAAGGAGTTAGCAATTTTGAATTTGTTCTTCAAAAAGGGAAAGTATTCCTTAAAAAGTCAGGTTATGGGGATTAGTATAGAAATTCTTCCCCATCCCATTCCATTACCTTAAGCATTTGCATTGTGGCCCCTCTAAATGCTACAGGGGATAACAGGGTTGGTGGAAGTCCTGCCTGTGGACCGGAGGTGGCAACTAAACTCTTACAGTTGATCAAAAAATTGAGTAATGTAAAGGTGTTGATTCCTTTCACCAATACAACAGACTCAGGCCTGTGATCCATTAGTACTTCATGTTTCTCTTTACGCCTAAAGATGACAATCAAGGAAATTGCAAATCCAAATTACCTTGATTCTGAATGAACTGGATCTCATTTTGTTAATTATAAAAAGGAAATGTATTGCTGCTCGTTAACTGCAATGACTAACCGTGTAAGGCAGTTTTAGATCAAAATGATTTATCTCTGACCATCTGAATATGTTAGAAATTGAGTTAACAAAGACTAATTCCTTTCCCTGATTAAAAAAGTGTTCTGTCCCATTACAAAACTTACTAAAAATGGAATGTTTCACTTTAAAAAATAATAGCTTAATAATGGCTGTTTATTGGTACATACCTATAGTTTGTTATTTAATGTCATGATAGAAAATTAGTTTTAATACGATTTTAAGATTATAGTCATATAAGACACACTGAATGGTAAATTGTTCTGGCACATGATTCAGGTAACAGTAACTGAAAGGATACAGCTTGATAGAGAGTATGTCTGGCTTTTTAATTTTATCTTGCACACCCATCTCCTCCAGCCAGGAAAAACTTTCCTCTTCATCCTCATCACTGACTGCTTGCTCCCTAGGAAATTGTAACAGTTAGCTAGGTTCCCGTTTCACAAGGCTGTTACCACTACAAAATCACTTCACTCAATCTGTAAGTCACTGGGTGATGCAAAATGTTATTTTAATGACATACTCCTCATGTCCTGAGCTTGTTCCAGATGCTTTCTTCGTATGGACAGTTTCTTTTATTAAAGGCAGAGAAAATTCAATACCTATATTAGAAAAAAGACAATGGTCCTGAGTTTTCTTTTATAAAGTCTGAAAATATTTAACAAGTGCCTTCTACTTTTAGAGAGTACAAAAGTGAAAATGCCAAGTTTTTACAACTGATTTAAGGGCAATAGCTTTCCAAATTTTCTTGACAGCTGCCCATAAAATACAAGCATACATCCACACACATCTCACTGAAACAACATACTCAGGAAATAATACCTATACTCACTCTATGTAATAGTCTCATAAACTAATTTGAATCCATTTCATTTAAAAAAAAATAAGGGCTGCTTGGGTCCAGTAAAATGATTTCATGCTCCACTAATGAATCAAAACCATAGAAAATCATATAAAGTTAATATTCTGTATTATAAATGTGACTCCATCCCAATATGTGTTTTACTTGAGAGAGCAGAGAAAGAACACTTCTAAAACTATGGGTAAGTAAACAACTAAATTACTGCTGAAATAAAATCAGACTGTATGAAATGAGATTTTTCTTAATATTGGTAACTCAGTTGATAAAAGACAATTTAAATTTTAAAGAAATCTTGTTTACTATATAAAGTGTTATACTATCAACTTTAAATCTATACTTTTACCTTCATTTCTCATAGATTCTCTTAAACCTCTAGTTGTGGGAGATAAGATAGCTGTGATGACATCACTTCCTGCAAATCCTGTTGCCCGAAACAGGACAGTAAACTGATAGGTACAAACGTAGAAATAAGGGCAAACCTTTGTTTTCAGCAGATTATATAGAGAAGTAAAGCTCACAGACCTATGAAGCAAAAAACTTTCAATTAGATGTTATTAAACATTTAATGCAATACCTAGCTCAAAACACAGCACAAAAATTACAGATACTAGTTAGGATTGCTGGGGCTACATTCAACTTGTGGCTTCAAGCTCTGAGATTGGTAATGGGGACTGACTAGTGATTTCTAACAAATAGTGTTTACCACTTGAATATGAACCAGTTTTTCAAGTAAGTTTATTTTAAATAGAATGAAAGTTAACAAGAGATCATCAGTCCCACATTCAATAAATCATACACTTTGTAGCATTACCATGATTGTAAACTGTACTCGCTCTACATGTTCACTTTAACTTTTGCACTCCTCCGTGTTTTCTGCTACTTTCATCTTTGCTCTGTCAACCTCCCTTTTGTTCTATATTGCCTTTCTCGTTACCCAAGTTAACATGTCTATTCCTTTACACAAGGAGCCCTAGCAATGCAGTGGATTACAAACTGGACTGCTAACTGCAAGGTCAGTAGTTCTAACCTACTAGTTGCTCCTCAGGAGAAAGATGAGGCTTTCTGCTCCTATTAAGATTTACAGCCTCAGATATCCTATACAGGTACACCACTACTCCTCTATACAATGAGTAATTTCCCCTTCCCTCCCACCCCTAGTAGCCATCATAGAATTGTTTTTTTTAGCAAGAAAACACATTTTAACTTTTTACAAAAATGACCTTATATAATTTATGCTTTAGCAATTTCATTCAGCCATTAAAATGCCCTCCAGATGAACCGTTTTTTTTCAAAAAACAAACCACAACTTAGTTGTTGACTATTTCTGACAATTGAAGCAGTCATTGACATGAACTAGCATTAAAGATTTATGTCCGTGGGTATATACTACATACTTATATATACACTTCACTACTGAATAATGGGTGGATTTAGAAAACATAAGCAGGTTGATGGTGCTAAGTGCTGTTGAGTTCCGACTCTCAGCAACCCTGTATAGGGTTTCTGAGGAGTGGCTGGTGAGTTTGTACCACTGACCTTGCGGTTCAGTGCTTATCCTACAATGCTAAATAGTTGGCAATTCACATTTTCAGATGAAACAGTTTAGAAAGTCGAAGACCCTTATATCATTATGCATTTTACATGGTAAATACAATAGAGACTACTGCAAAAATAAAGGTTCTTGGGTAATACAAACATTTTGGCTTTAGCTAATAAACTCAAAGGAGTCCTGGTGTGGCACTGTGGGTCAGAAGTTCAAACTCACTCACCAGCCACTCCTTGGAAACCCTATACAGGGTCGCTATGAGTTGGAACCGACTCAATGGCACTTAACAACAATAACCCAAAGGTTAAAGATCTGGACTCATTCAGTAGTCCCAAAGAAGAAAGGCCTGGTGATTTGCTTTCTGTAACCAAGAAAGCCCTATGGAACAGTTCTAGTCTGTCACCATACATGGGCTGGTAATGTGCCAAATTTACTAGACAGCAATAGCTTTTCATTAGTACACTGTACAACTACTTTTTATTAATCTTACCAGTCGCTCATTAAAGTGTGTTGCAGGGTTTCATCATTTGACCAAGGGCTTGTCTTTCCAGCCATTTTTCTATCTGCTCCAATACGAGGGAACAGTGGCAGCCAAGGTAATGAAGGGTGGAGCCAATAGATGAGGCTCTGCTGGAAGGCACAGCGGAGCTCAGTGGAGAGTCTGGGATCCTGGAACATTGGACATTTGGGTATTTTTTTTTGTCCCCTTAGACATAAAACTTCATCAGCAAGACACTGCATATACCAAGCACTTAATCTAAGAATCTCTACTATTACCTATAGAACAGTGTCAATAACTTTTATAGGGCCTAAAATGTAGTTTTTCCTTGTTTAAGAAAAACCTTTCTTGCTGCAGTGACAGTCTGTTAAACAGTATACCAGAAGCACTTAAACCTAGATGGGAAATATGTCCCACCTCTAATATTCTTGAGAACACTGGCTATTATTTTATCATAGAAGTAGGTTGAGTATGTAGGTGTTATTATTATAGTCAACTGCTCCTATAACACTGTTTCAAAAGTATACAGTAGAAACTGATTATGCCAATCACCAATCATCTTGACCTATTCACTGGGACATATGTACCAGTGCCTCCTTTAGGTACTCCCTCTTAGCCTACCTAGCTTGAGTGCTGAAATGTTTATGAGTAATGAAATGACTTTTTTCTAAAACCATCGCAGAACTCAGTAATTTAACTAAATGTATAATAAACCATCTACCCAGGTAGCAAGAACCAGCACAAAAACCACAACTCTATAGAAGAAAATTAGAAAACCAATCTACTGGCTTCATAATCTTATGTAACTGCTTTTCTTCCTTTTTTCCCCCTTGTATTTTCTTGTTCAAAAGACCTTAGCAAAGAATGGTTTGGTTTAAATAATCCCTACCTACAATCTTTGTTAATTCTTAGTACATATTTAAAAATATAATGGTCAGTTGCTATACTTGACAAAAAAAAAACCCCCACAACTTGGTGGGGGAGCACAATTTTGGAAATATAAAAATTTCGAAATCTTTGTGTCTTTAAATGTCTGAAGAAAAACAATAGTGGAAAGAAAAATCATTACCCCACTACCAAGACTAAAAGAGTGATTATATTGCAGAGGAGCACATTTTTATATTTAATATGGTCCTTTAAAACATAGCTATTTTATTTCAGGATTACCTGTATCCTCTGAGGTAAGGTAACTTCTGTTGCCCTACAGTGCTGGACAAGACCTTGAGCCTCTTCATGTGCTTTCAGATGATCTGCCCAGGTAAAGGGTTGAGAAGAGGTGAAAAGGAGTCTTGTTTTAATACTCCAGTCCACAGGTAACTCAGTACCATCTGAGGATGGAATATCAGTTTCGGAGAAAGATACAGATGGAGTCTTTCAGAAAACAAAGAACACAAAAATTAGCAAAGTTTTGAAAAAACTTCAACCACGATCACTGAAATGTTAAAATATAAACATATAGTACAGAAACTTGAAAACACATGACATGCTATGAAAAAGTTTGGAAGGAGCCACTGTCAACTGCTCACTGTGGTTACCTCTGGGAAGACAGGATGGGTTATTGTTGCTTGGCTGTGGTGGTGGTGGAAGGTCAGATTTAACTTTTTAGTTTATATAAGTATTGTTTTACTGTATAATGAGGCAAGTAAAATGGAGCGTCAAAGTTTGTAGGAAAACTCCTTTCTAAATTGCCACATACTTTTTGAAGACATCTCCTATTGATTTTTGGGTATGCTGGTGGTGCAACAGAATAAGTACTGGGTTGCTACCCATAGAGTTGGTGGTTAAAGTACACCTGCCGCTCAGTAGGATAAAGACAAGGCTTTGTGTTCCCATGAAGATTTACATGGAAATTCTATACAGGGTCACTATGTGTCAGACCAACTTGACAGCACAAACATATTTGTACTTTATTAGTACTTCTGTAATTAAAAAAAATTAAAATCTACTACTGCTATCGCTATGGAGCTCTGGTAGCGTAGTGGTTACGAATCGGGCTGCGAACCTTAAGGTCATTGGTTCGAAACTACCAGCCGCTCCGCGGGAGAAAGATGAGGCTTTCTACTCCTGTAAGGATTTATACCCTCGGAAACCCTGTACAGGGTCACTATGGGTCGGAACCGACTCGACGGCACTTAACAACAACAACTGCTATCGCTGTCCAAGTATTTTCAAAAGCACCTTGTAAGCCTATGAAGGAGGACTGGTGTGGTGCTGTGGGTTAATGCGCCAGACTGCAAAGCCGTTTGAACTACAAGGTCGGTGGTTCAAGCGCACCCACTGTTCCTTGGAAATGCTATACAGGATTACTATGGGTCAGAACTGACTTGACTGTACTTAACAACAAGAAGAAGCCTATGAAGCCATAGCAAATCTGTTCCTAGTTAACATAGATAAGGCTCTTGGAGACTGTCTTTAAGAAACATTTCTTGACCTCAAAAGTCCTCCTCAGTCTGTTTCTTTCTCTCAATATTCACATTTAAAGGATTCTTTTAAATGACATTACAAAACACAGGATCAGGAACTATTTCCAAAACATGCTGAAGAAGGCCAAAATGTTTGTACTATACAATATATATATATATCTAACAGTGAGACACTGATACTATCCACATGTCAAGCTATCATAATAGATGTATTTGCACAACAGAATCTAGAGGGTGCTGTGTAAGAGGCATGGTGGTCAGTATAGTGAGGTTCAGTCTATTCAACAATGTGAGGAGGTGACTTGGGAATCTGGATTGAAGGCTTGATGAAGGACTAAATTCCAAAAGAAACTAGTTCCAGGAGAGGAGCTAAATCTGAGAGATGAGGTAGAGGAGTCACCACCCAAGAAAGAAGAGTGCTAAAAACTTACAGGAAGAAGGTAAACGCCCCATGTACTACGCCTGTTTGAATGTTGGTTGCCATCATAACATTAAGACATCATACTAAGTCCCTGATCTTGGCTGAAGCCGTCTTTTGACCCCAGGCAAATGTGCTGCAAAAATCTCTTATAAAAACTGTAAAACACAAGATGCCACTTTCATGATTACAGTGTGCCTGACTCAGTAAGAAAAAGGAAGGCAGAAGAATTGACACATTAGAATTGTGGTGGAGTATATCACAGTGTTGCCAGAGTTAATGAACAAATCTGTCTTACAAGTTAAGTGCCATTGAGCGGTTGATGAGCTTGAACAGGTAACCCTTGTGGTGCTAAGTGACATTGCAATCCAGCGCCAGAATATTCCTTGAAAATGAGGAATGATGAGACTTTGTCTCTCTTACTTTGGACATGTCTTCAGGAGAGACGAATCACTGAAGAAGAACATCATGCTTAATAAAGTAGGGTATGTCAGTGAAAAAGAGGAAGACAGTGGCTGCAACAAGTGTTGACATACAGAAGTGTTTGTGAGGACAGCACAGGACTTCATTCTTATATACATGGGGTTTGAAGCTGATCTGAAGCCACCTAACAACAGAGATGATTATTTTCTCAGGGCTCTCTGGGAAACTTTTACATGATAAAGTACATTCTAATGGTGTTTTTAAAGTTTTACCTTAGACAATTCAGTAGTGGTTGGTGGTTCAGAAAACTTTTCTTCCCATAGCAAACCATTCTGATTAATCTGAGGTTAAAAACAAAATAACACTTAAATGACAAAGTTTGCTTAAGATGTACACAGCCTGGTACGCAAGTTTCTCAATAAAAGCTCTTGAGTCCATATGCTCCCAAATCAGTATCTCAGAATTTCCCCTTCAGTTTTGCGTCTAAACTATCAAAACTGAGAAAGAAGACCTGTGGTTTCATGCATCTACTAACTGATGTTTGTATAAACAACGAATCAAAAGACACAAAAGGCTTTGGGAGTAGACAAAGCTCTGGTAAATTCTAAGTCTACGACTCAACATTCCTCTGTCTCAAATTAATTTTCAGTGTGCGCGAAGAGGGAAGCATGGGACCTCCTTAGAAAGTCGTTGATCTGTGCAATCAACTGGGTCCAGACTCATAGCAACCCAGTTTAGGGTTTCGGAGGCACATTTGGTGGGTTTGAACCGCTGACCTTGCGACTACCAGTTCAGTATTTAACCTACAGTGTAGGGACTTTTATTAAACAGCTGCCTTCCAGGACTGGCTGCTCCGTGTCTGTCTAGAACTCCCTTCTAGCGTTGGTACCCCGTTAAGACGGTTGCTGCCCAGCCTCATCACAACCAAGCTCCGAGGACCACACTGGGCACATCCCGCAGCTACCACCTGCCCGCGGGCGCCTTCGCACCTCTTTCACCGTCCAGGAGCAGACGCTCCCGGCAAAGTTCACTTCAATCTTCGCGCACACTTCCTATCGGATTCTCAGACTGGGTCGACCCAGGGAATACCGTTGGCCACGAAGCACTCACCGGGTTCAGTGTTTCCAGCTGTTCGCTGGGCGGCGCGTCGGGAGTTTCGGGGGCGGCCAGCGGCCTGTTATCTAGGCGGGCGAAGGGATTTCTCCGGGTCGGGGTCCCGTTGCCTCTGCTCGTCGAAGCCGGGAAGGGTCGGAGGTGCAGGCCGGCTGCCAGCGCAGCGCGACGCGGCTCAGGATTCGGGGAAGTGGCGGTCCCGTGACTCCGAACCCTTTTCCTGCGGAGCCGTAGTGTTTCAGGCGGCTTCTTGAAACTGGGCGAGTAGCCAGGTACAGAGAGAGCCATAACGCTAGTAGCTGGTCGCCCAGGCGCACTCTTCCCGCGCGCGCGCGCCAGCCCCACCCACGATAAGCTAGACACTGAGCGCTGGGCATGCGCCTTATGCGTCCCCAGGGCCCCGCCTTCAACGTAAAGGCACGGCAAGCATGCGCCCTTAAGCCAACCCCGTTTCGGGCTGCGTTGTGCCGGGCCGCTACCTCAGCCCAACAAGTGGTGCTCGAAGACCGTTTTTAGGGTCGCGCCCCCAGACTGCAGTACAGCTAGAGAGCAACCAATCCAGGGAACTGAAATGACTTAGGTACACAGCAAGGAAGTAATCCGCCCGTGGCATGGTGCCTAGATGAAAAACATCTGACTCAAGCTGCGGTGATTGGCGACGGCGGCTCCAAGATGAGGTTCCAGGGGCCAGTCCCTAACCACAATCCCCTCCCACCCCCTCTCCAGTTCACAAATGGAGAACTTTGTAGGAAACAGGAATCTAAACGCTAGCCCATCGCTCTCTCTCAACCCACCCCCTCCTAATGGCCGCCTCGCACGCCCTGTGGCTGTTGCCACTGTCGAATTTTTTATCTTGTTTGGTCCCAGGGATCCCTGGAGTGAATATTTGAAACCAAAACTTGAAGTGCTTATGGACTAGGCTACATCCTTTGGGACTTGAAAAGACACTCAAATGGTTAAATTACAACAGCAAAGGTTTGTTAGGATGGATGATGTTCAGAATGGAGTTGGTAACAAAAGAAATGACGTTATTTTGACAGCAAAGAACTGAAAATCCAGTTTTATAAATAGAGTGGTGTGGCTTCTGCTGAATGCAGTTTTCTTCCTGGTAAAAAAGTTTTATAGCGTAGGTATAATGTACAGAGAAAAAATGGTTTTCAGAATATTCCCTTCAGGTGTTAGAGAATTATTTCGACCATTTACACAATAATCTACTCAAATGTATTCATGTAACACAGCATCTTAATCTTACTTAGCAGGAGAACATAATTTTTTTTTTTTTTCCTGAACACTTTACAAGGAAACTTTGCCTTCATATACTGGAGTATGTTCATCCAACTGAGGTCTGAGGAAGAATTAAATTAAAATTGAACAACTTGCTTTTTTCTTCCTTGGTTTTTTTGAATAACTTCCATGGAAACTTTGGCCTCATATAGTGGAATGGATTCATCCAACTGAGGTCTAAAGGAGAATTAAATTAGAAAGGTCAGGTCTAGTTAAAGATTACAACAGGATGGTCACTGACAATTACTATAGCTCAAAATATATTACTTTAAATAATTTAAACAAACGTGTCCATTACTATTTAAAATAAGGGTTTAAACTCTGAAGGGTAAGAATATCTACTTTTGGTAGGTGATAAGCAGATCCAACTTTTTTTTTTTTAAAAAACCATATGGTACTTTTTTTCCTCTCTTCTCAAGTTGCTTTGGGAGGAATGGCGAGGGAAAGCAAAGGTCCATGTTGGAATGCAGTGGGGAAAACTGTACCAATTCACTTCTAGCTTTGTGAATACTTAGAGCACTTTGAGAAATACTTAAGCTATTTCTCTAAACAAAAAATATATGGTGGCAACAGGGATACCTAGGTGTAAAAATTTAAACAAAAATGGAAATCCCTGCCTTATCTCAATAGAAAAATAAACAAGAACCAAGATTTGTTTACTTTGCATACCTAAAGACACCAGTTGATAACTTCTCCATCACATCTTTTAAGATACGTAGCTGGAAGGATTGTTAAGGTGACAATGTAAAGGAATAGGAATGAACATATTAACAAGCATAACATGCTAGGCAGGTCACTTATGTTGATTTATTTAGTTGCAGGATTTATTTTAGTTTTGCTCACTTCAAAATTCAAATTGTTAACTTACAGAAATTCTTTAAACTGTCAAATTTACCTCTAAATGGGAAATGGAAATGATTTGAGGGGTGGTGGTATGACAGCGCTTAGACTTCTAAAGATAAATGATGACAGAAACAGCCTACCCTGAATAAAGACTGCTGTCATCCTCTGTGCACGGTAAGGAAACAGTGACAGGTGCTTATTCTGCACTATTTGTGGAATTTTAAATTATAAAATTAACACATATGTCTTACTTTGTTGTTGTTGTTAAGTGCCATTGAGTAGGTTCTGACTCATAGGAACCCTGTATAGGGTTTCCAAGGAGCAGCTGGTGAGCTTGAACCACTGACCTTCTGGTTCAAACAGACTTTGCAGTCCAGTGCAGTAACCCACAGTGCCACAACAGGACTCCTATCTTACTTTAGGAGCACATTTATTTACTCAACTGGTTGCTAATAGGCACAAAATTTGTGTGCAAAACAAGTTTATGAATCACCAAGAGAATCAGAAACTTAATCATTAAGCTTTATATATTATTTTAATACTGGGATTGAGAGTGTATATAATTGCTGTAAAGACGAGAATTCTTGATGGCATGTAATAACATTTTGGAAGGAGATCTCTATGTGAAGTCACATGCAGCACCAGCCTCATGTCCAATTCAAGGGGTCTACACAGGTGGGGATCAAAGCTGGCTTCAGGACTTCAGAAAATAAGATAACAGGAAATGATCAATACTAAAATATGTCACCGTTGGGATGATTCTGACTCATAGAGACCTTAGAAGACACAGTAGAACTTCCCCATAGGGTTTCAAAGGAGCTCTGGCAGCATAGTGGTTACAAACTGGGCTGCTAACTTTAAGGCTGGCAGTTCGAAACTACCAGCCATTCCATGGGAGAAAGATGAGGCTTTCTGCTCCTGTACAGGGTCTCTATGAGTCACAACTGGCTCCACGGTACTTAACAACAACAACAATCTTTATAGAAACAGACTGTCACATCTTTCTCCCATGGAGTGGCTGGTGGATTTGAGATAGCAACCTTTCAGTAACAGAAAGGTTAGGTTTAACCATTTATGCACATCCTGCAAATTCTTTCTATTCCTATTAATGTAGTTGCCCTCAGTGTATGTGTGTGGGTATATGGCACATTTCTTTGAAACCTGAATTCATTTCATGTTAACATATTTCAACACAGTCCATGGATTCATCAATGAAGTTAAGATCACTGTCTCAAGAAAGTGGGCAAGAGGTGACGCTGCGTGAATTAATGAACAGACCAACCAGCCAGCCTAACTTTTGACATGTTAAAATTCAAAATATGAATATTACTTTTAATTGGTGTCCCTACTGTTAATATCCCATGATATTTATCATTACAATGCTATTGGAGGTTTAGGCTGTTCAAAATAAAATGAATTCTTACAGTGAGTTGATAATGATCATTTTCCAAATTTAATAATTAGAAAATTTAATGTTCAACTCATATATTCCCTACATTAAGAGTATGCTCTGATTTGAAATCTCTTTAAAACTTAACACCTGTAGAATAGTAATTAAATCTTAGTATTTAAAAAATTTGGATTGTCTGTCATTGCACCTTCTGTGCTGCTGGTCTTTATACAAAGCACACAAATGTAATTACATGCATATAATAAAGTAAGAGGCTTAGTGGCGAAAACATAAGGATACACAAGTCTCTTTGTGTACACATATACTCTACTAAGTAACAACTTACTTTTGTCCAATATCTTAAAGATTTTGCCAAGTGAAGCTGCCTTTAAAATGGTAATACCAGAAATACAGAGTTTATTCTTAAGTTGACTACTCTCTAAAAAAGTATTAAACTTTTCCTCATGGAATTGCTTTTATATTCTCTCAAGAAAACTTTTCACTACTTTTACCAAAACCAGCATGATTTGCTTAATTCACCAGGTTTATCTCTGAATAACTTGTTTTTAAAAATGAGGTTTCATCCTCATTTGATGAAGATTTCCTACTACTGAGTATGTGTAAAAGTGTCCCATGAACTTTTTAAATTTAGGCAAGTATTCTGAAATATTTTCTGCAATGGCCCTCCAGCTGCTATGTCAGGTTAAAGACAAAACAAACCTTCCATGTAGTTTATGGTTGTATCTCCTATTCACCGAGAAGCCCGATTGCTGGGGTGTGATTCCTATTCTGCCATTTGCTAACTGTGTCCACAAATATGTACTGACTTCTCTATGCCTGTTTTTTCACCTGTAAAATAGGGGTGACAATAGTACTTATATTTCATAGAGTAGTTTCAATGTTAAATGAATTAATACCTACAAAGCACTTAGAACATTGTTTAGCATAGTCAATGAAAGTTAACTACTGTTATTATAAAACAATGATTAGAGTACAAGGTAAATCACAAGCTAGAAACACAAGACACTAAAAAAAAAAAAGGATATAAAGATATTTTCCCTGTTGTACATTTGACAAATTCCATACTTCGTCATTAAGGAAAGATACTGTTGCTCCCTTGAGGAAAAGGCAGTGGCTATCTGGTGGATCCAACTTGGACAGAATGCAGAAAGACAGATCAATCACTGAGAGCTTAACAGCAGAAAATGACTAGAGTCAGAAAAACTTCTATACAAATGATGCCAAATCATCAGCAATCAGCATACAAACTTTAATAACACTATATAAACTACAATGTTTTCTATTTCCTGGTTCAAAATGACAAAATAGCAAGGTGATATATGCAGGGCCAATCTAGTGCCTTGGTGAAGAGGGTGAAGTGATGTAGTAGGATGTGTGTGTGAGAAAGACATTCCTGACATCTTTGTGAGAATACCGGAAAATCAATAAAGAATAGTATATGAGAATTATGGTATTTGTACATCAGCCATGATATATAAATACTTCACTGGATTGCTGTTGAAATTTATAACTTTGAGGGATCACATAAATATACATAGTTAATTCCCATTTGAATGATTAGGAAATTATAATAATGCTATAAAGAAAAATTTTGCTAAGTAAAGTACATGTCAAAAACACTATTACAAAATGTTGAAGTCACTACCTTCCAAACCATTAATTATAACCATTCCAGTTGAAGGAGCTCCTCTGCTAGGCAGTATTTTAACATTTTGTTGGTCAACACTTAGCTTAAAGTAAAAAAGCTATATTTCTTAAAAAAAAAAAATATGGCATTAATTCATGGTTTTTAGTAACTTAACCAGACCTTAACTCAAAAATACTTCGGCATTATTCTTTGCTATTTATTATCCCTCAGGTGTAACAGTAATGCTTTCTACAGTTTCTGATAATACCTGAAGGTTTTCTTCTCTTGTTACCCAATGGCCTCCAACACCTAGCAGTGTGATGATATCATGCTTATGTGGTAGTAGTTGTAATTTTACAGCGGGTTCATCATCTTTACTAAATAATCTCACTTATAAGGGAAGAGTTAAAAAAAAGAGAGAGAGAAAGAGAATATATTGTGTTATAGCATGCACAAAAATTTATTTCTAAAACAAGTTCACTTTACTTTTTAATATGGGAATGAATTCACCTACCTTAAAATATACAATTTGTACTAGCAGTGGTCAGAAAATGTAAGCAAGATTTAGTTTTAAGAAAAGTAACTAAACTCTATTTCCATTTAAAAATCAGGCAAAATAACAACATATAACTGTCTGATAATTAAATCATAACATTGATCGCTTACTACATTGGGAAATGTTGGTTTCAGATGAACGAACTCAGACTCAAGATAGTCCTATCCCATTGCTGCTGAGTTGACTCCAATCCATAGCAATGCTATAAGATAGATTAGAGTGCTACATTGGGTTTCTAAGGTTGTAAATATTTTCAGAAGCAAACTGTCACATCTTTATCCAACCGAGTGGCTGGTGGGTTTGAACCACTGGCTGTTCAATTAGGTTTGACCACTGTGCCACCTGGGATCTTTCAATAGTCATACTTTGACATAATTATGGAAATGCCTACTCGAAAAAAATGGAAAGTCAATGAAGTCTACATTTAATTTCACTGACAAATTTTTTCTCTAGTTTCACATCTTGAAAAATACTCGTTAAAAAGAAAACATACCTGATGGCCAGTACCCACAATGAAAGATACATAAATGAGAGCCCTCTGCAGGCTTGTAAAACTTATTCTTTATGTGCAATACCTAAGTATGTACAGATTAGATGCTAAACAGATACTGGGTCAGCTAAAACAGTTCAAGTAAGGTGAAAATACAACAATATTCTGCATGTTTGCCAGAGACTGCAGAAGCCCACCAGCCAACAGAGGCAGTCACGTACAGCAGAACTGCTTGAATAAGCATCTGGGTGACACCAGAGCTGATGTGCATCATCAGGAGACCACTCAGATCACGTTTGTAGGTTTTATGGAGAGATGCCACTTGTTATTTATACTCCAGTGCTTTACTGAATCAGTATTTCTTTCAAAAGAGCCCCATAAAAGGAGCCTTGCTATAAAATTCAAGATCCATCTCGTTCATCCTATAGTTAAAAGGCAAGCATGTGCTCTCTTCCAGAAACAGTGTATAATGGGAACAAAGTAAAGAAGCTTCTATTTAAACAGACAAGTTTTTAGTAAAAAAATAATAAACCAAACCAAAACACACCACCAACTAATTATTCAACTTAATAATGATTTCCCAGTTTAAGTAAAATTTTCTGAAATTCATCAACTAAAAAAATTACACAGATTATACAAACCTCCAGCATCTAGGACAATATCTACTCCCAGGCCACCTGTTTCTTCCAAACAGCTTTCAGCAACATGGACTTTTCCATTAGATACATCGATCACTCGGGCTGTAAAGGACAGAAAATAAGGTTATGTAACAGGAGTCCTGGTGTGGCACTGTGGGTTAACATATCAGACTGCAAAGCTGCTTGAACTACAAGGTTGGTGGTTCAAGCTCACCAGCTGCTCCTTGGAAACTCTATACAGGGTCGCTATGGGTTGGAATTGACCCGATGACACTTAACAACAAATGTTCTTTGTGTAATCAACACAAAAAAATCAAGGAAAAAGAAGCAAAGCAAATATATATCTGTCCTCTAAAATGGGTTAAGTAGTTCAGACAATGAGTTTAAAGAAGGAAAATAATAACACAAATCACACTTTTTCTGGTTTAACCCAGTATAGTTAAGGATCAATTTAAATGAAGGAACTGGCATTTTCAAATCAGGAGCCCTAGTAACACTGTAAGGAGCTCTGGTAGCGCAGTGGTTATGAATTGGGCTGTGAACCTTAAGGTCTGCAGTTCGAAACTACCAGCTGTTCCGCAGGAGAAAGATGAGGCTTTCTGCTCCCGTAAAGATTTATAGCCTTGGAAACCCTATACAGGGTCGCTGTGAGTCAGTTCCGACTCCACGGCACATAACCACCACCACCACCATTAGCACTATAAGATTAGCACTGGATTGTTAACCACAGACTAGATCGGTCGCTCAAACCCCCAATGGAAGAAGGATGAGACTGTCTACTCCTAAAAAGATTTACTGTCTTAGAAACCCTCTACAGGGTCACTATAAGTTGAACTTGACTTGATGGCAGTGGGGTTTGGGTATAT